GGGCCGCCCGGCCTGTCTCGCCGCTGCGAACGCGCGGGCATGCTTTGCTGACCTGTTCTGTGGAGTTGGCGGGGTCGGCCGCGCCGGCGCCAGCCGCGGCCGCGCGATATTGCGAGCGCCTGGGCTTGACCGATCCAGCCACGTTTCGCCGAATCGAGCTGGGCGCTTGCAAATGATTCATCCATGGTGCCGCGCTGGCGAGCGGATGCGCGGGCCTATCAATTGCGCGTGCGTGGGCGCGCTCCATTCGAACGGCTAGTATGCCGTGGGGTGTTCGCGACAGAGATTTGTTCAGCGATAGAGCCATGCCGCGCTCGTCGCGGCGATAGACTGGCGTGAGCTACTCCTCGCTGGATTTGCATTCTGAACCGCCGTCGAACCCGTGGTTCCCAGAGAACCCGTTCAGCAGCATGGCGCGGGCAGTCCCGGCTCCGCGGCGGCGAGTTGCTGCGGCGGATTCCGTTGCAGTGGCCTTCGATTCTTGCAGCTGCGGCGCGGCCCGGCGAAGGCGGATTCACCTTTTGTTCGGGGGGGCCTCGGAGAGCTGCGCGCGGCGCCTTCGGGGTGGATTCTGCTGCGGCAGAAAGTGTTGCAGCGGCCCAGTCGGCCTCGCCTCGAGCTCGCTGGGCCTCGCCCAGCGCGTCGAGTGCCGCGGGCAGAGGTCGCCGAGCCATGCCCCGAATGCTCATGCCGAGATCTCGCCGCCGCGGCGCCCGCCCCCCTCCCTGCCGCTGAAGAGAGAGCGCGCCTCTGATGCGGAATGATTAGGGGCGCTTTTACCATTGCCCGCCTAGCGGCGGCGGGCCTGTACTTGTGATCGCGCGTCGCTCGCTGCGAAGGCTTGGCAGTCGCTTTCCTGTGCTTCGCGCCGCGTTCCTCGAGGCGATCGCGCTGTCTGTGTTGAAAAGCGGAAAGGGGGGGGGCCTAGAGACATGGGAGAGTTTGCGCGCGGTTGTCTCGAGGCTTCCCGTTTCCCATTGCCTCTCGGGCTCCGAGTGCGCCCGCGGCCTGCCCGCCGCCGTGATTGCGCCTGTCCTCGAAGCTTGTGCCTTTGGCCGCCTGGCGGCGGCAGGTTTGCATTTGCGATGAAGCGTCGCTCGCTGCGTGGGCTTGGCTGTCGCCTCCCTGCGCTCCGCGCCGCGTTCCTGGAAATGCATTCGCTGTGCTGCAAAGCGGATGGGGGGCTTCTAGGGGCAGGGATGTCGCGGGAGGCCTCTGGGGGGCTTCTCGGGGGCCGCTTTCTCCTTGGGGGTCTCTTAGGGCCTCCCTGGGGCCTCTCGGTGCCTCCTTGGGGCCTCCTGGGGGCCTCTTAGGGCGGAGTGCGCAGATTTTCGGTTCGCGTTCCCCCGCTTGGGTCCTTCTTGGGGCTGTCCCCAGGCCCCCCCCGAGGTGTTTTGGGCGCCTGTCTTGGAGCCCTCTTGGGCCAGGTTTGGGTCGTCTCCGCCTTCGGGCGTCGGGGGCTTGGAAAATCGAGAGCCCCCGAATATTGGAACAACGAATTTTCAAAATTAGTGATTTTGCCCAGTCGGGGCTCTTTTGGCGAGGCTCTGGGGGCTCTCTTGGGGCGTCTCGGAGGCCTCTTTGGGCAGTGTTGGGACCATCTTGGGCATCTTGGTGCGATCTTTGGGCGTCTCTGCGCTTGCTTGGACCGTGTTGGGGGCCTCTCGGGGCCCTCTTGGTCCGTGTCGGGGCCTTACAAACCCCGAGAACTCGCGGAAAAGGCCTGCGAGATTTGTGAATTTTGGGTCCGGGCACGTTAGGAATTCTTCAGGAGTGAGGACTGAGGCTTGAGGGATTAGGCAGGATCTGAGGACGCGCCCACTCCATGCCCAGCGGCACGGTGGCGGATTAGGTACGAGGCGGGGTGAGCAGCCCCAAAGGGGGGGCCCAGGCTGGGGAAAGGAACGCTCCAGCGTGGCACGCCCCTCCCCCTGCCAGGACGGCCCGAATAGGCCCCAAGAGCGGCCAGAAGGTTACCAAAACGGCCCAGGAGGCCCCCAGGGTGGCCGAAGGTACCCCGTAAGACAGCTTATGAGAGAGTCCCGGTAGGGCCCCAATACCCAGGACTCTTTCGTATCGCGCAAAGAGGGCATAGTACATCTTCAGGGCGGACCAAAAGGTCCCCAAGACGGCCGAAGAGTGCCCCCAAAGGAGCCTCAAGAGGGTATCATCAGAGTGAGGGGGCCGAACGGTCATTCACTGTCCCTGGGTGCGTGGCTGAAGTGGGATTCGGAATATTGCAGAGTAGAGTAGGATAGCGTAGGTAGGGTTGGGTAGGGCAGGGTCGGATAGGGTACGGTAGAGTAGAGTAGAGTAAAGTCGAGCAGAGTCGGTTCTAATATACTCGGGTAGATGTAGAATCTAATCGAGCCAGCTAGAATAGAGTAGAGTAGAGTAGAGCGGGGCAGAGTCCACCCTAGTTCCTTGCATTCTGCTGCAGTCTTGTCTATATCAGCCCACTCCAGTCCACATGATTTCAGTTGTCTGGTATATTTGGAGTCTGCGCTGGCTGAGATTGATTGGCCTGGGCGTTCCAGAATTCAGCGGGCCCTTCGTACCATGGCCCTGCAACACGGAAGGTGCCATCAGCCCTGTCGGGCAAGTTCCCGAGGACGCTCTTTTTGTTTCCGTGCCGTCCAACCTCCAACGCTTCTTGCCTGTAATGCCGGCGGGATTAGCTACCCTTTCGTAAACGAGCATGTGGGCCCAGAGGCAGCTGAAAAATGGGCCAACCCCATGTTATCGGCTGCAGCTCTCTTTCAGTGTGTGCCGCTGTTGCCCCAGAGCAGATCCTTGGGCCATAGCTGGAACCGTGACACCGACGGCCGCTATCTGATATCTACCAGGCTAGGCTTAAAGCTGAGCGACAAGAGTCCAACCATGGACGCTGGGTCCTTCATGACTCATGACGGCGGTCGGGGGGGTTTACCTTCGGTAGCCAAGGCCATTCCTTTCGCCCATTCCTCAACCGCTGTGTTTTTCTCTAGTCTGCGAAGGTCGTGTATGTGATGTGTGTGATGTGGTTCGGCGGGTATCTGATGACATGGGGAGGAGGTGCGCTTGAGCCTCGAGCGTCTTTCCATGCATGCGAATCCCATCATTGGGTACGACTCGCCTTCCGAATGCTGCCAAGCACATCATGCGCAGGATTCTTGGCACCGTCCTTCTTTATTAGCAATCGCGCTTGCTCGACTCTTGGATCTGCAACGCGCCTTCGATTTCTTATGCCGACGAGTGCATGATTGCGACTCCGTGGCTGTAAGAGTCCGTCACCAGGACATCTGCGCATTGTTTCACGGTCTGGAATGGCCTGGGTTTTTCGCTTTCCTTGTGAATCGCACCAGCCCCATGGCCGGTTGCGCCGCCCCTGGAAACCTACCAGCAGTCGCGCAACAGTCGGGTGTGGGCACGGGAACGCCGAAATCTTTGAACATATTTGCGCAGGTTATTCGATGACCTTTTCAAGTCGAGGCCTCGTCCAGGGCCCTCTCGAGGCACGCGCTGGGGCTTCAGTGTGTTTTCTTTGGGTCATCCTGGTGCCCCCCTGGCGGCCTCCTGCAGCTCCCGCGGGCAGTCTCGTGGCCATCCCGGGGACACTTGCCGCGGAGCTCCTGCCATACCCCTCCCCTCCCCGGGATCCCCCCCCCGCGCGAAGTGGGAAGACGCTGCCCGCGTGCTGGCGAGACAGCGTGGGGGGGGGGGGCGGGCACCCCGCGCTCACGCCCCGAGGCGGCCACGGGGATGGCGGGAAGAGCCTCCGCGGGAACGCCTCTCGGAGACTTTCTCGCTCGGCGACCCGGCGACACGGGCGGTCAGCCGGGCAACGGTCGACGCAGCTCAGAGGAAAGCGATACGTACATCTATACGTCTGTGGAAGTCGATCAGTGGAGAGGAAGCATGCTGCCGAATATTTTCCAGATGTCTAAAAGATGTTTCAAACATGTTTTTCAAGTATGTAAACAACACAGTTGAAGCATTTTTAGAACATGTGGTACACATTTCAAACACATCTTTCATTCAATGGTCGGATTTTTTAGAGTGTCCATTGCCAGGGCATCCACAACTATACGTATACGTATACGTATACGTCAGACATACCTAAAAAGAGAGGCGCAGATCGAGAGAGAGTGAGACAACTCCTCGCCACACAGGAAGAGACAGAGAACGAGAGGGAAAGAAGGCCTCGCCACATGGCAGCACGGCGTTGCGCCGCCGTACATCGCGAACCCAGGGGCGAGTGCAAGGCCCCTCGAACACGCCGACTGGCTTGGTGGATCGCTGGATGTGTGGAAGCAGAGTTGCGCCAGTTTTGGATACCGGAGGGGGCCCACCTCCAGCGAGGAGGTCCACGATGCCTCCCCGACCTGGAGGCTGGGGATGTCTCGACCGAGAGGGGGGGACCACACCACCAGTGAGATCCCCCTTGCCTCCTCGCATCTCCTCGCCCTGGTGGTGTTGGTGTCGCCTTTCTTTGTTCCTAGGATACAGGGGAAAGCGTGACGGCGCTGGCAGGTGTCTGGTTGACCCAAATAGGGGTCCAGCTACAAGGGGGTGGTGCAATAGATCTGGTGCAATAGATTTGTGGGTTGCAATACATTTGGGGCTTGCAATACATCCCGGGGCGCAAACGCATTGCTGGAGTTTCGCGTGCACTGAACTAACTACTTCCAATACACTGCGACACAAATCTCCAGCGCAGTACATTTGCAATACAACTGCCCCAAATCCACTGCAACACCCCCCTTCATCTGGACCCCCTCTTGGGTCACCCAGAAGAGTTTGGCGGCGCGCAGAGGGGGGTGGGGGGAGGGGGGTAGGCTTCTTAGAAGCACCCCCTGCTTCTTAGAGGGTGCGTGCCTTGTCTGTAGATGTAATGCCGGCGCCTTCTAAGAAGCAGCTCCCTTCTAAGAAGCCTTCCCCCCTCCACCTACCCCCCTCTGCGCGCCGCCAAAGAGTTGCGCCAGTTTGGGACACAGGGGAAACCGTGCCGGCGCTGGCAGGTGGGCGCCGCCAGAGCGCCCAACCACCCGGCCGGGCGCGCGCCGACGGCAGAGCCGCAGCAGGCGCGGGGATAGCTTGCCTGTGCGGGGGCCGGCTCTGTTCCAGGGGCACAAGGACACACAAATAAATACACACAAATAAGATGATGCCCCACATTTTCTCATATTTTCTGGGTTTTTGTCTTGCCGCCCAATTCCCATATTTTGGCATATTTTCTTGGGGGTCGACGATTATTGTGTCTGTGTGTTTTTTCCCCTCCTGATCTGTGCTTCGGCCCCCCATGGGGAGAGCTGGGGCGTCTGCTTGGCACCGCTTGGACGTGTGCATTCTTCCTTCGGCGAGGACCATCGAGGAGCATCCTTGATCATGTGGCGAGAAAACTGCGCACGAGACCGAAAAAAGCACAGGGAATGGACGTCCGAGCGATGGCCAGTCTGTCGGCGACTACAAAGGGTGTGGTTACGCCGGGGTGTGGTTTGCGATCTGCACCGTCGGGGCCTGGGGGGCCACGACACCGTCCTCGTCGGGCCTCCTCGGGGCGCGGCGCAGAGCTCTGTCGAGGTCCTCGCCCGCCCCCCAGGGTGCCCCTCAGGGTGCCGGTTGCAAACCACACCCTTTGCAAATCACATCCTTCGGAGTCGCCGAATCTGGGCCGGCGGCGAGAGTTCGAACCCGTGTGCCCACGGCAAGTCCTGATTCGTGCCAACAGTTTTGTTTATGAACCAGTTCTTTCCCAGGGGCCCCTTTCGGTGGCATAAGTGGTCACGCAACCCTCGTGCTGTCTCTGTCTCCTCCTGCTCCTCCTCGGCACTCCAGTGTCGATCGCCTCTTCCTCTTTGTCGTACACTCTTCACCCATCCAGCTGCCTGCGGCAGGTCCCGCCAGCGTGCCAGCCCAGCTTTCCGGGTGGCGTCCGTCCGAGGGGGAACGGAGGCCGTCACGTGTGACAGCTCGTGTCTGCAGGCTTGTGAGAGCCGTGATGAGGATGGTGAGGACTATGAGGATGATGGGGGTGACCACGACAACGACGACGCTGCTGCTGCTGTCGCTGCTGCTGCTGCTTCTGCTGCTGCTGCCGGTGATGATGATGCTGATTATGATCCTGCTGATGATGATTATGATGATGCTGCTGATGATGATGCTGATGATGATGATGAGGATGATGATGATGCCGCTGCTGCTGCTGATGATGATGACCATGATGATGATGATGATGATGATGATGATGATGATGATGATGCAAATTATGATGATGCTGCTGATGATGATGACGATGATGATGACGATGTTGATCATGATGATGATGATGATGAAGATGATGATGATGATGATGACAAGGATGATGGTGATGATGCTGATGCTGTGATGATGATGATGATGATGATGATGATGATGATGATGATGATGATGATGATGATGCTGCTGATGCTGCTGCCTATGCTGCTGCTGCCGATGGTGATGATGCTGCTGATGCTGATGGTGATGATGATGATGATGATGATGATGATGATGATGATGATGATGATGATGGTGGTGGTGGTGGTGATGTTGATGATGATGATGGTGATGATGATGGTGATGATGATGATGATGGTGCAGATGATGACGATGATGCTGATGCTGATGCTGATGCTGATGCTGATATTTATGCTGCTGCTGATGCTGCTGCTACAGCTGATGATGATGACGATGATGATTTTGATGCAGCTGCTGATGCTGCTGATCATGCTGCTGCTGATGATGATGACGAGAAGGATGATGATGCTGATGATGATGATACTGATGATGATGATGCTGCTGCTGATGATGATGATGAGGATGCTGATGGTCATGATGATGATTATAACGGTGATGGTGATGGTGATGATGACTCTGACGATGCTGCTGCTGCTGATGGTGCAAGTGCTGATGCTGATTGAGATGCTGATGCTGGTGATGCTTATTATCATGATCATGATGATTACGATGATGATGATGATGATCACGCCGTTGACGACGACGATGATGATGATGATAATGATGATGATGATGATGACGACGATGATGATGATGATGATGATGGTACTAGTCATGCTGCTGCTGGTGATGATGATTATATTGGTGATGGTGATGATACTGATGATGCTGATGATGCTGATGAGGATGCTGATGCTAATGATGCTGATGATACTGCTGCTGCTTATGACGATGGTGATGCTGATGCTTATGTTGATGCTGATACTGCTGATTATGATGTTGACGGCGATGATGATGCTGATGGTGATCATGACGTTGATGTTCATGATAAGGATGATGACGATGGTGCTGACGATGATGATGCCAATGATGCTGATGCTGATGATGATGAAGAGGATGATGATGCTGATGATGATAGTAGTCATGCTGCTGCTGATGATGATACTGATAATGCTGACGATGATGCTGATGATGATGTTGATGGTGACGACGATGACGATGGTAATGCTGACGCTGATGATGACGATGCTGATCATGCTGGTGGTGATGGTGATGCTGATGCTTGGGTTGATGCTGATGCTGCTGATTATGATGTTGATGGCGATGATGATGCTGATGATGATGATGACGTTGATGCTCATGATAAGGATGATGACGATGATGCTGACGATGATGATACCAATGCTGCTGATGCTGATGATGATGAAGAGGAGGATGCTGATGCTGATGATGATGCTAGTCATGCTGCTGCTGATGATGATAATGATAATGGTGCTGATGCTGATGATGATGTTGATGGTGAGAATGATGATGATGATGATGATGATGATGATGATGATGATGATGGTAATGCTGACGCTGATGATGACGATGCTGATCATGATGGTGGTGATGGTGATGCTGATGAATCGTGATGCTGCTGATGCTGATGCTGATGCTGCTGATGATGAGGATGATGGTGATGCTGAGGCTGATGATGATGCTGATGATGACGATGATGATGATGATGATCCTGATGATGATGGTGGTGATGGTGATGCTGATGATGATGACGCTGATGCTGATGCTGATGCTGATGCTGCTGATGATTAGGATGATACTAGTCATGCTGCTGCTGATGATGACAATGATGATGGTGGTGATGATGATGATGTTGTTGGTGATGATGATGGTGATGCTGAGGCTGATGATGATGCTGATGATGACGATGATGATGATGATGATGATGATGATGATGATGATGATGATGATCCTGATGATGATAGTGGTGATGGTGATGGTGATGGTGATGGTGATGGTGATGGTGATGCTGATGCTGATGCTGATGCTGATGATGATGATGATGATGATGATGATGACGATGATGATGATGATGATGATGATGATGATGATGATGATGCTGATTATGATGACGATGATGCAGATGCAGATGCAGATGCTGATGCTGATGCTGATGCTGATGCTGATGCTGCTGACGATGATAATGATGATGATGCTGATGCTGATGCTGCTGCTGCTGCTGCTGATGATGATGATGATGATGATGATGATGATGATGATGATGATGATGAAACTCGTTTTGGCCGTCTAGGGCTTGTACTGGCCATCTCAGGCCGCGGCTTTTTTTCAATATTTCAGATTTTGGCAGGAGGGACGTGCGTTAACTGGTTGGGCTGGGGCGGTATCGATCGCGGGCGCCTTGCTGCGATTGCGCGGCATTGCGAATGCGGCTTGTTCGCGCCAGCAATGAGCCTTCGGTTTCAGGCTGTTGCGTTCGCCCTTGCAGACCTCGTTTTATCTGCATGATTTGGCGCTTGGGCCTCGGGGCGGAGGCTGGGGCCGGTGGCATGGGAGCTCGCATACGTGCGTTTTGGTTTTGCTTTTCGGCATCGTGCGGCTCTTGAGGTCGCTCGCGCCCGCCTCAGGCGCGTCTGTTCGGGTGTGTTTCTAGGCGCAGGGGAGACGGGTGGCCGCGAATGTAGCCCGAGGTGCGGAATCAAAACAGCACGGAGATTTCACCGCCTGTTGGCTCATTTATTGTTTCGGGCGGGTCCACAGGTTCGGGCCACGCTCGCCGCCGCCGGGCGCAAGAACAGACTTTCCTTTGGCGCGGACCCTCTACAGGGAGTGCGGAATCATTAACTCTTGCTCTCACTACAGTCGGCCCGGATCAGTAGGTCGACCCTGCCAGCTCAAGGGTACCCTTGTGTCCTGTGCTTCTCGACACGTGCCTTCTCTGTGTCCTCTCGCGTGTCCTGTCCAATCAAGTCCGACTCTACAGGGAGTGCGCAATCATTAACTCTTGCTCTCACTATCTTTCCCAACCAGCGTTCCACCCCCCCCCCCCCTCCACCTTCGCCCTGCCGTTCCTGCTCCGTCGCCCTTCCTGTCTCTGAGCCTGTTGCCTTCACGTTCCCGTGCCTTTCTCTCCGCAGGGGCAGAAGCTCGGGGGGGGATCCTTCAGGAGGGGAAAAACACACAGACAATTAATCGTCGATTCCCAAGGAAAATATGGGAAAATATGGGAAGTGGGGGGGAAGACAAAACCCATAAAACATGGCAAAATATGGGGAATCCTTTTATTTGTGTGTATTTATTTGTGTGTCCCAGGGCCCCTTCATATTCGCAGGAGTAGAAGCTCGGGCGGGGATCTTGGCCAATCGGGTGAGCTACGGTGCCGTCCGACTTTCTTTGGTTCCCCGTTGGCGCTGGGTCTCCCTGGTGGTTCGCTGCCCCGCTGTCGCACCCCGCTGCCCTCACCCGTCCCGTTCACCCGCAAACCTCCCCTCCCCCTCCATTCCCGAGGGAGGACGGTGTGGACCACGGCTGGGGCGGCGCGGGCGATCATCTCTCCTCATCCATCTCCCTTCCTCAGTCCAGCATCCCATCCCTCCTCTCCGCCAATCTCAGCTTCTCCCTGTCACCCACCCCCCTCCCCCCCTCTCCCCTGATCCCACTCGCGATGATTCTGATCTGAATGCGGCAGGATGGCGCCGCGTCTACGTGGCGGCGACGCCAGCGCGGGCGCTTAATGTTGAAGCATGCAGCCTTCAAAGTATCTGCGCTAAACAACAACCAACGTCCGCGTCGACACGGCAGAAACCAGCTGTAAGCACGCGGCACGCAGAAGGCACGTTGGGACGTTACCACAGGTTTGTGGGAGATCCCCGCGGAACTCCAGCTGCCAGCATCTGGGACTTGCGCCTGGCCGCCGAGGCCGATGGCATGCCAAAGGGCCGGTCAGCCTGTTGCAGCCTCCCCTCCCCTCCGACGCCAGTTAAAACAGGCTAGGATCGAGATAAATCGCTCCAGAGCGTTCCGGAGCGCTCTCAGAGCGTTCCGGAACGCTCTGGAGCGGCCGCGGCGCCCAATACATCCTCCAAGCCCGCCGATTCTCAGAGATTTCGAGTTATCCCGATCCGATTTTGTCCCGATCTTCGCGTCGTTTTAGACCTGGCCTGGATCGGTGTCGGTGCTCCGTGGTCGCCCTCGGGGCCCTCCCACGCCCGGGGGGGCACGAGAGGCCGGGCGGAGAAGGGGGGGGTCCGCGGGCGCAGGGGTCCGCGGGCGAGGCGGCTAGGGCGAAGCGCACTGCGGGCGAATCGGATCCCCCCCCGACGATGACGATGACGATGACGATGAGGAAAACATCGTCATCGTCATCGTCATCGTCGTCATCGTCATCGTCGTCGTCATCGTCGTCATCGTCATCGTCATCGTCATCGTCTCCCGAGAGCGCCCCGCTCCCCCCCGCGCGCTGGCCCGCGTCGTGCGCCGCTTGAGGCCGTCTCGATGGCGCAGACCGATGGCCAGGGAGGCGCCGCCGTGGTGTCCGGGCTCCCGGAGCCGCTGTCGCCGTCCGCATCGCCTGCGTCGTCGAACAAACGTGTCGCCCCAGTATGCCAACACGAATGTATATCTTTTCATTTTGCCCGAGGCCCCCCCAGACTACAACAGCAACGGCCTCCGCCTGATACTTCGTCGCAATTTATTGAGGAATCGCGCTCTCGCGCGGGACTTCCTCATACTGTATCCAAGAATCGCGCTCTCGCCTGTGACTTACTCGCAATGTCTGTAGGCGCGACGCCCTCGCCATTCAGGAATCGCGCTCTCGCCCGGGACCCCTTCATAATTTAAGTAGCCATCGCGCTCTCGCCCGAGACTTCCTGGCGAATAATGCAGGACTCACGCATTCGCGTAACATTTGTGTTTTCTTTAGTTGAAGTGCTCCTACCAGGGCTCGTGTTTTTGTTGGGGAACGTCTTCCTGCTCAAACTGTGCCCCTGGCCCCTGGTTTACAACAACAACGGCTCCCGCCTTCTATTTCCCAACAATTTATTCCCAAATCGCGCTCTCGCGAGGGACTTCCTCATAATTGAATGCAGGAATTACGCTTTCGCGTGGGACATCCTTTCAGTTTATGCAGACGCCAGGCCCTCGACACTCATGAGTCACGCTCTTTTTGTGGATTTCCTCAAGATTTATTGGGGAATTGCGCCATCGCTTGAGATTTTCTCGCGACTCTTGCAGGACGCACGCTTTAGCAACCCGCCTGCTCGACCTGGCCGTCTAGGCCTGCCTTCCTGACCCGCCCGTTGGGATCTACCCGCCCGGTCTACCCGTCTAGTCCTGCCATGTGTTTTCTGCTCTTAGCCCCCCTGCTGCTATTTTCTCTCGTGCTCCATCTTCCTCCGCCCTGTCCCTTCCTTCCATCCTTCCTCTCTTTCCCTGCCGTAGCGGCTGCACGAAATACACACGTTGCAGGTATGAAAATACACCACAAAGGGGTTACGATCGAAGACGAAAAGGGCGGGTACCGAGGGTTTCTGATATTTGTTGTTGTTGTTGTTGTTGTTGTTGTTGTTGTTGTGGTTGTGGTTGTGGTTGTGGTTGTGGTTGTGGTTGTGGTTGTGGTTGTGGTTGTGGTCGTTGTTGTTGTTGTTGTTGTTGTTGTTGTTGTTGTTGTTGTGGTTGGTGTGGTTGGTGTGGTTGGTTGGTTTGTTGGTTGGTTGGTTGGTTGGTTGGTTGGTTGGTTGGTTGTTTGTGTATGGAACGAGTTCGGCCCCTGGTTCCATCGCACACATTCGCTTGCCCCAGGCGCACGCGGCGGACGCAGGCGCGAGCAGTCGCCGCGCCGCCGCTTGGCTCGCGCGCGCCGCGGCGCGCCGCAGGCGATGTGGGCAGGCCCGCGCGCCCCCGCGCGCGGCCGCTGCCCGCCGCGGCCGCGCGCAGGTACCACAGGTTTGTGTGTGCCTGGGGCGCGCGCCCCGCGCTCGGGATTTGAGCGCGGGGCGCGCGCGACCGCGCGCGTTGGCCGTCGCCCCGCGCGCCGCCGCCTGCTCGTCGCTGCCGCTTGCCGCCGCTCGCCTGCTCGCTGCGTGCTGCGTTGCCCTGCGGTGCTGCTTGCCGCCGCCTGCCTGCTCGTTGCGTGCCGCTTCGCCTTGCGCCGCCGCCTGCCCCTGCTTGCTGCTTCCGCGCGCGCGCGCCGGTCTTCGCCGCGCTGCCCTCCTGCCCCTCGTGCAGGTTCCCTCCCCCTTCCTCCCGCGCGCGGTGCCTCCGCCGTTGTCAGGTTCCTTCCTCCCTCTCATCCCCCCCCGCAGGTGCCGATTCCCTCGTCGTTTTGCCGGGCTCGAAAAGATGCCAGGAAGACTTCCGCGCGCGCGCCGGTTTTCGCCGCGCTGCCCTCCTGCCTCCCGTGCAGGCTCCCTCCCTTTCCTCCCGCGCGCGGTGCCTCCGCCGTTGTCAGGTCCCTTCCTCCCTCTCCTCTCCCCCCGCAGGTGCCGATTCCCTCGTCGTTTTGCCGGGCTCGAAAAGATGCCAGGACGACTTCCCGTTACTCTGCTAGTGACTACGGGACCTCATGAGGTCCAGTCTGCGTTTCGGCCTAACGAGGTCGTTGCAGGCGCGATTCGATGCCGACGCCGCGTCCGAGCGCGGGCCGCGTGCGAACGACCGAACGTGGTCAAATTAGACGCAATTCGACGTCTACGCCGCAGCCGTCCGACGTTAGCAAGCGTACGACCGAACTAGGTCCGATTTGACGCAATTCGACGTCTACGCCGCATCCGAACGAGGATAGCGAGCGAACGACCGAAAGAGGTCAACTTATGACGCAATTCGACGTCTACGCCGCATCCGACGAGGATAGCGAGCGAACGACCGAACAAGGTCCGATCAGCCGCAATTCGACGTCTACGCCGCATCCGAACGAGGATAGCGAGCGAACGACCGAACGAGGTCAAATTAAGACGCAATTCGACGTCTACGCCGCATCCGAACGAGGGTCGCGAGCGAACGACCGAACTAGGTCCGATTTGACGCAATTTGACGTCTACGCCGCATCCGAACGAGGATAGCGAGCGACTGACCGAACGAGGTCAGATTAAGACGCAATTCGACGTCTGCGCCGCACGTGTGGCGCGCAAGCGAACTTCCGAGCGGGGGCTGTTCCGGCGCGATTCGACGTCTACGCCCCCTCCGTGCACGCTCAGCGTGCGTCATTTAGGTGGCCAAACGAGGCCCGCGTGTACGTGGTCGGCTTCGGCGCGCGAGCTGCCGCCGAGCGCGGACAGAGTGCGCGCGAGCGCGTCGTGCGCGTTAACAGGCGGCGCCCGCTCGCACCCATGGCGGATCTGCAAGCTTTTCTGTCTGGCGTCGACGCGCGCGCAAAGCGCGACGAGGAATGCCTCCGCGACGTCATTGCAGCACTTCACGCGAATTCTGTCACGGCGAGCGCCACGCGCTTTCTCGGTCCGTCTGTCGCGCACAGCGCGTGCCAGGTTGAACAAGACCTAGTCGGGCTCAACATTCATGAGAGTTCGTTCGGCAAGGGCGGCCTCAACGGTGGGAAGGTAGCCTTCCTCGACCGTGCCGTCAAGCGTGCCGCAGAGAACGCCGCCAGGGCCGAGGCGGGGTGCATGGCCGCCGCCCGCGGCGACGACGGGGCGGCGCGGGGGTCGAATGACCCTGTCGCTGCGCTAGTGGACGCGCTCGCGCGCAAGCCGACTGCGGCCGCGCACGTCGACATCGGCGCGAAGCTGGGCGACATCCGCCTCAGTGATTTGCCGTCTGATTGCTGGCCGTCGCCGGCGTCGTGCGACTGGCTCGACAGCCAGGCGCCCGCGCGCGCGCGGTGTATCGCTCAGCGTTCGCACGCGGCGCTTCGGAGCGGCGCAGGTCAAAGCGGCCCAAGCGAAGGGGATCGCGAAACCGTTCGCTTACAGCGATTTGAAGAAGTGGCTGCCACACTGGGCGGTGGAGAAGCGCGGCGGTCAGGACGGCGCGGACGCGAACAAAGATGGCGCGCTCTTTCGGCGCGCGCATTCTGGGCGGAGCCGCCGCCTCGCGAGGACTGTCGCTCATGCCCTGGTCGGTCGCATTCGACCGGTGGGCCCTGGCCGCGAGCTTCGCGGGCCAGATTGAACTGGCCGCCGCGATGGCGCACAGGGACGTCGTCATGCAGATCGCACTGCAGGCGAACCCCCCCCCCTGGTCTCGCGGCCGAGGCCGGCCGCCGCCCGCGCGCGCTGCGGGCAGGCGCGCGGGGTGCACAAGTCCACAGCCTTGGCGGTCATCTATGACGAGCTGGCCAGGCGGGAGTGGGCCGATCGCGCCAGTGGCTCCAGCTCCTTTAACGTCAACCGCGACGCGCTGCAGCAGGAGCAGACAGAGCCTGTGCAAACGCGCCGAGCGCGAGTGCACGGCTCGCGGGCGTCCCAACCTCTCCGATCGGCAGCGGAAGGGCGGCAGCAATGGCACTCCCCATGCGGAGTTCAAGGGGGAAGGCAAGGGCAAGTCCCAGCATGCCGAGAGCGACAAGGGCTGGGGCACGTCCTGGGAGCCCAAGAGCTGGGGCAAGTCCTGGGAATCGCGGGCCCACGCGAAGGGCAAGGGCAAGCACGACGCAGCGCGGGGCACAGGGCAGCCGCGCACGCCGAAGCGCAAGCGCGAGGATTGAGGCGCGAGCACCGTCGCGCGGCCAGCAGCGCGCGCTCGCGCGCGGAAAGCGCGCCCAGGCTTGGCGGAGCGCGAGAGCGCGGGCATGCCCGCGCCGAATTCGCCAGATGGCAGGTCTCTCTCTGCATCACAGGCGCGGCGCGCTTCCGTCGCGCGCGGGCGCCCCGAACCCTTGGGGGCCGTCGGCCGGCAGGCGCGGGCGCCAGTGGCGGCCTCTGGGGCAATGTGCCCGTCGGAAGACCGGGGCGCGCCAGTGCCTGACGGGCGGAACGCTGCAAGCAGTGCCGCGGCGGGCTCGTGGCTCCCGCGTTTTGAAGAATTGGCGTCCAGCGCTGAGGCGGAGAGCGCGGCCGCGATGCCCCGCGCCTTCCGCGCGCCAGCGCCGCAGCGTCGCAAGGGGAAGTCAAGGCAAAGGTCGACTTTGTCATTAATGCCGCGTCGAAGGGCACGGCGTGGTTTCAAGACGCCGCGCCCCTGCACGACGATCTCCGCGCCTGTGTCGACTGGGCAAAGTCGCGCAGCTGCCAGCAGGCGCGACAGTCGCAACTCGCGCGCGCCACCCCGCACGCGCCGCGCGGTAGATCTTCAGCGAAAGGGAGGCCGCGATTACAGCCATAGAGGCGCGCTGCCGAGAGTCGAGACGTTCGGGGGCCCAGCGGGCCTGGCTGGGCGGCGTGGACGCGGCGGCCAGAGCCGCAGTCTCCGAGGTCGACGGCCCGACCCTAGGCGCCATCGCGACCGAGATCGGTTGGGCCGACGACGTGGAGCGCCTATTCCGCGAAGGGGCGCCGTTCGTGGGCGCGCTGCCAGCCTCCGGCGTCGCCGAGCGTCGCGTGGCCCGCGAAGAGCGCGAGCCCGTCA